TGTTTAATATTTTGTATTTACTGTTATATTCCCATATATCATTGTGATGTTGTTTATTCTATTACTCTCGTTTTCTTCTGCTTGTTTTCTTTTTTCTTTCTCAACAGGTGATCCAGGTGATCGATATATGTATTTTTTTTTCTCTGCTTATTCTGTTGTTTTTTGCCCTTCTCCCCCGTCCCTCTTCTCAGCTGTTTTTCTTTCCCTCTTTCTTTCTCCCCTTCTTTCCCCCAGTCAAGTCTGTCCCATATTCAGCAAGTGAAAATAAAATAAACAATAAAAGGTGAATCAAATGGACCATTACAAGGCTGGGATGGTCAATTTGGTAAAGTAAATCCGCTGGGCATCTTTCTTCGCCTTTAGACAATAATTCTGATGGCAAAAGTGCCAAACGGGACAGGCAAAAAAAAATTAACATTTTTTCAATGTGTTCCGATTCCAAGTCTTACATGGGGTTTTTACATGTTTTTGAAAGTATCAGCACTTGTTAAACATAAGTATTTCATCTGAAGTGAATACAACTTACATTTTAGTTAGTAAATTTTTAAAAGATTATATATACCCTTCTGTCTGATCAGCTGAATATCCCAAATTAATCAGTAGAATATAGAAACATCTCAGCGATAATCAAAGCAAGCGAAATGGATCAGAAACTGCAGTTAATATGATATAATACTCAAATGCAAACTGTACATGTACTACACCATGCCTGATGTTATTCTCACTAACCTGTTTTTGCTGCTGTTAGTGATGGACACCATGATTTTGTGTACACACACACACACACACACACACACACACACACACACACACACACACACACACACACACACACACACATGTTGGGTATTCATATGGACATCTAATTGATAATGTTTCCCTTAACCCTAACCATCAAAAATGAATGCCTAACCTTTACCCTTACCCTAACCACAACCTAATTATAACCCTGACACTAAAACCACATTGTGAGTCTCAAAAATGCCTTCAAAGTTGTGGGGACCAGGATTTTAGTCTGTTGGTCCCCACAAGTATAGTAAACTTCCAATTTTTGGTCCATACAAAGTTATGAATACACACCCACATACGCACACTTGGAGAGAGAGATCACATTTCTATCAATGGGGACTCACTGTAACCTAAAACCAAGTCTCCACCCAAAAATGTTTTACATTACAGGTACTTTCTATTAGTGCACATGAAACAAGAGGCAAATCACGAGATCACCGTACTTTAAGTAAAATAAGTATACACAGCCGCAGACACACACTAATGCTATGTGTGTTTCTGCAGCTGCTTTGAGCTTGTCAAGCTGACAGTCACTGTACGCCTGATCGCATTTTTCACTGACTGGGGCTCTGCTGAGGACCTTGGTGCAGAGCTGGGAACAATATGATGAGCACTCATAGGTATTTCTGTGGCCATGTGGATGACACGTAATCTACTGTGTTAGTGTTTACTATTTTCTGTATGCTCTAATTACTTTTTTTAAAAAGAGTTCAAGCTTTTTGTAGCTGGGAAAACTCAACATTTAAAGGCAGTAAATAACAATAAATTATGAATTTGGCAATTTAACAATTTAGAGTAAGCTGTTAATAAACTTTTTGTTTTAGTTCATTTACTTCAAGCTTTCTTGTGCTAACAGATGTTTAAGTTAAAGTAATGCACATATAAGCTAAGCGCTGCATCCACAGGGAACTCTTTGCAAACAAACAGTGATTCTCTTTTTTGGGGGATACGACTCACTTAATACTGTTAACCCTAGAGGATTTAAAGTTTAAAGGAAACACAACTGCACAGTAAAAAAAATAAAGATATTGTTGAGAAAGTGATAGCAGCCCCTCAGATCTTCTATATGCCCCTACTGTGCACAACATAATGTAGTATGCTCTACATCATCACTAAATCAGTATTTGCTATAATTTATTTGTTATAAGCCGAAGGCCAGACAAGTACTTTTCTTTGTCATCTCTACAGATGAACTGTTGGCTGGTGTGTTGCTGAGAAATTAAACAGAATGGGACTTAAGTTAAGTTCAGATACTTTCCAGAAAGCATACTCAGTCAGCACTATTTAGTGCTGCAGATACCAGCTCGGCACATGTTTGGTGATGTCAGTGACTATTTTCAGCTGCCATCCAGCCAGCTGGACGTCGGCAGTCGTCAGCAGCTGCGTCACTGCAGGTCTCGTCAGATGATCACTATGTGCCCTTCTCAGATCCTTACGCGAGAAGTGTGGCTCACTAAAATCAGGTCAGTTATGACTGTGGACCAATTCATTTGGTGATGTCTCTTTATCCTGGGGCGATCGTGGCTCAAGTGTTGGCAGTTCATCTTCTAACAAGGTTGCTGGTTTGAACCCCGGACAGTCTCGGTCGTTGTAGCTACAATGTAGCTTGCCATCACCAGTGTGTGGATGACTGAATGTGCAAAGCGCTTTGGGTTCCTTAGGGACAGGCCATTTACCATATCCTCTGTTATCCCTGATCATATTTTGTCTCGCACACAGCGTTCATTCACAGGTCACTATCGCTCTTAATAGAGCCACCCTGGACCTGATGAGGCTACATTTGTTGGCCTTTGGCCACTACAGGGCAGGACAAGAATAAAATCAGCTCTTCTGCACGGCATCTGGTTAGAAAAAAATCAGAGCAACGTCTCTTTTCAAAGGACACCTTTAATGAAAATGCAAATGTACATTTGTATGATACAAATCCTCTTTAACTTGAACATCCAGGTGAGTCTGTGGGAAACACGTTAAAAATTTAGTCCACAAAACACATCTCCTAACATTTTCACCGCTTTCACTATGTAATCGGAGTAAAATCAAATGAAAGTCTGGGATTCAGTTGAGTAGGCTTGTTCTTCAAATGGGCCGAAAGCATTTCCTACTGTTCTTGTCCATTTCACTGGAACAGCTGCGCCCTATCAAACTCCAATAAATAAATAAAGTGCTCCACATACAGCTGGATTTAGATCGGTTAATACACCTCACTAATGTTGATTGAATATATTTCACATCACTGAATATACAGTTTATTGTTATCTTTCTAAAAGTCAAATATCTAAACAGTTCATATTGCAAATTATTATGAAGCTAGTAATTTAAATTATTTACAAAAAAGAAGGCACAGCATTATGGGTAAAATATGAATCTGATAATGGTGACGGATTGCACTGAGCTGAGGACATGTTCTTATTTCCCGATTATCCACATTCCCACTTCTTTAAACGCCACTACTTCCAGTCATCACAAGCACGCTAAGACAGGACAAGCTCAGAAAAGACCTTTCCCCTCACTGAACACGTTCTTCTCTCTAGACTGGTGGGGAGGTGGCAGTACAGACACAAAAGCAGAAAGTTTCACCCTGCACAGCATAATTTTAAAGGTACCAGCTTCTCGTTACATTAGCACATTTGTGTATCTGTGAAATAACCACTTACGTTAAAAGGACGTAAGTGATTTTGGTTTTAAGAACTGACTCCTGGGCAGGCCTGGGAAGAACTGCCAGTACTGCTGCATTAAACAATGCTGTAAATAGAAAAAAAGAGCCTTTCTGATGTGCTTCTACTACAAGTGATGGCCAAGTTTGAATGCCATAGAAAATACAATTCAATATTTAAAATATTAAAAACTGTAATGCAAACCAGTCAAGTTAGCAACTGCATCAGGCTTGTTACTCTTCTTTATTCACCATGTAATAAGTCACACAATTATCAGCATCCTCACATAATTAATACAGGAAACTATTTGTCTTGGTGAGGAAATGTGGTCTCTTACTTTCAGTAGTGATCTATTGCACAACTTTTAGACACATTGGGGGGGAAAGTCTAGAAATAATTAGGAAATCATCACGATAGTGTAAGGGAAAAATCCTCTGGCAAATGAGAGAAACATTATTTAAAGGAGTCACAAGGCAAATATTTACTCATTTTATTTTCTCAGTGGATCATTTGCTTAGATTTCTTGTTAGGTTTTTGAATTGCTGGACAAACAAAAGTGATGAAAATACCTTGAGCTCTAAGGTCGTGACGGGTGTTTTTTTTTTTATCATATTCGCATAGACTGAGTATCTAATTAATGATGGAAATCCTCACATTTAAAACTTTTGCCCTAGAAATACTTGACTTGGGCACTGATAAACAGCAGAAAATGAATGGATAATGAATCGATGGAATGGGTTTTTAATTTCTAAATGCCTTGGTCCACAAATTCCTTGGTCTGAAATTACACAAAAAAAGCATAATTTTAACTAAAGCTACTACCAACCACAGGTTAGGAAAAAGGTTATATCCTTTACAAACTTCAATAAGTTAAAATCAGTGCTTTTAGAGACCTGCCATTGATTGACTTTTTAATAGGGAGTATTTATTGGCCAGCAGAGCTCAATTCACTGCAACAAAAGAAAAAAGCAAATCAAGAAAACATCTTTGTCAGTCTGACAACACATGCAATGGAAACAACACAACTAAACACAGCAACAAACCTATTTTTGTTCAGAAAAAGGCTGTCCTCCTTTACTTAAACTGAAAGCAGATTAGAAAGGGATTTTTAACGGACAGTTTAAACAAGATGAATGATTATAGTAATATGAGTCAGTGCTCATAACATTTCTTTTAGTTCGACTTGATAATTTAATGAATAGTAAAAAGAAAAAAATGTTTTGAGATTGAAGGTGCTTCCTTCCTTCCAGCTTTTGTGTTTTGCAGCTACTGGCTAAGGAAGGAGACCTGCTTGTCTGTCCTCCAGTTACCACCTCCCTGCCAGCAGAGGCAGCAAAACGACTTCTGTGATCATTTACTACCAACATAGCCACTTATACAATCTCCATAAATCATGCTGAACCTGCTAATCATAGCTCAGTATCCATCTTGCCCAACATCCTAAAATAACACAGCTGACATTTATTCTTCTGTATCTTGTGAGTTTAAATCATGTAGCTCTGAACACACAGTGTATGTGTGTTTGTATTTGCATGTGAGTGTGGGGATGCACTATGTTTAGGACCACTGGCATGAGCAGTCAGTGGGCTCCTGGATAGTGTAGCTGACCCAGGTTGAGTTGCTGCTGCAGTAAAGCTGCACAGAGCGCCGCTGCAGACCAGTCTCTCTGCAGCACTTGCAGAAGCGAGCGTACGTATTGATGTTATAGTTGTAGATGCTGGCGGAAGGACACTTTCCATCGCACGACACGATGTTCACCTGAAAATGGAAGGGCAGATGTCTTTCATGTAGAAGGAGCAGACAGAAGGCCATCAAATAAATGCACAAATAAACTTTGGGAGGGAGAGGCAGCCATGTTAAGGTTAAACATGAGCAATATCAAAAACTATAAACACCAAATACTGAAAATTGAAATAACTCCTGTTGATGGCTGCAAAAAATTTGGTGTTAACTATTCAGATGGTGCACATCAAATAATCTCCTGGAGAAATCATGACCACCACAGCTTCCAGAATACTTTGAGCCAGCCAATGGCATTGCTGCACTTGCATGAACGAAAACTCTACACACACTGCAAGAAATGCAAGGTTAAAATAGGATGCTAATAACAAGCTGCAAACACAGAAAGTCAGACATGAGTGTTTACCGGTCTGTTGCTGCGGCAGTCATTCTTCCTGATGGTCATCCTCACTGTCACCTTCTGACATGACTTTCCGTCTTCTTTGCCTGTTCACACAACAAGCCAGAAGGAATTCATTGGAATGAAGGTAAAAAATACTCATAAGATAATAAGGATGTGAACAAACACCAGGAATAGGGAGGATGAGGACAGAGGAAGGAAGGCGATCAAGAGCCCTGAGAAGCTCAGAAGCTGTTGATCATGCAGAAGTAGTTTAGCCATACATAACCTGAAAGGAATAAAACCGAGGGTGTGTGTATAAGAACTTTGCAGCTAAAAGCATTAATGAGAAAAACTTTCCACTCAGGGAGAAATGATCAATGAGACTCAGCATAAACATTCAAAACTGCTGGAAGGATAAAATCTGTCATACATTTATTCTCAACATAAATTAGCTTCGACTAGAAACAAAATAAACTGATGTTTAAACAAATACAACAAAGACAGAAACACGAACAAAACATGAAATCTGCCATCAACACACGTAGCATTAAATTAAGATGTTATGAGTGCCATTTAGTTTTCTCAGAATGAATCTCAGGACACTTTCTCTACCGCTTTGACTGTCGCCTGTGTTATTAAGCTGTTGTGTCATTGATGTGTGTGTTAGTTTGTTTGAAGCTACTCTCTGTAAACTTACATAGATAACTCAATTGAACTCATTTTATTGTTTATTTTATGATTTTATTGTAAAACCAAATATTTTGTACCCCTAATCCTGCCACCCTAAAATGAATTACTGCTTTTTTGTTTGCACAGATGATACTACTAAAAGGATGAAATGCCACACACAGAAGATTCTGTTTCCCACACAGCTCCCTTTGGAGGGCTGCAGCTATAGTGCAGCAGCATGCAAATCTTCAGCAGTTCAATGAAAAAAAAGACCCGCAGCACTCCCAGCATCATCCCACTTCACTATCTAGTGACACATGCAGATATCTAAGCCCGACTACTGGGCCACTACCAACAGTACATTGTTGGCAATCAACAATGCACTGCCCAAACAGTGCTAAATGGGGAAAAAGTTTATTTGTTGTGTACATGTACACATGGGATCGGGGGGGGGGTTTCTGTCCTCTCAAGTGTGATGTCATTTTTCATGTAAACCAATTAGACTAGACAATTGGACAGCATATTTTCTAAAGCCAAGTGAGGTAGAAAGTAAAGAGGAAGCTACATCAGTTATGTTTTTTTCCACATGGACTTGGAGTGAGACAACAGCTGAGAGGACTTTTCTGCAGAGGGGAGTAGGTGTCAGTCAGACTTTGGAGTTTCCTGTGTGTGTTCTGTTTTTTTTCTTAGAGGGAGTACATTGTTGAATATCAACAATGGCACTGGTAAGCCTTGTTGTTTGGTACCTCTTTCACAGTTTGTGTTAACTGTGGGAGTCAGGGGGCTAACAGGGAAAGGGAAGAGAGGGAATCCAGTACCTGGTGGGATTGGTACACGATGGTAAGCTGCAGCACATAAACCATAAACCCACTTGTATGTCTTCAGTTGCTTTTCAGTGACAAGAGCTTTAATCATTTGGCATTTTAGAGCAAGTCTGTCATTACTTGTACTGATGACACAGAGTTCACTGAAAAGCACACTGACAGTTTTCTAATGTAAATAAACAGAAGACAAATGTAACGGAAAACAGCAGCTGGGATCCAGACGTGAGCCAATTCAGACAATGTGACTGAGGATTTTAGACTGAAACGAGCAAACTGAAGGGCAAACATGTCGGAAACATGTTGAGCGGCAGATGAAGGCGCTCTTCAGTGTCAGCTGCAGGCTACAGCTCTACGCTAACTACACAACTGCTGCTGTGATGCTTTCATTAGATACTCACACGTCTTGCAGCATCCATCCATGTAACTTACAACAGTTCCACCGATCTGAGTGCAGACGAGAGTCACAACGTTAACACAAACAGAGAAAAATGTATTTTTCCTCCACAGTTTGGCCAGCACAGATTCTGAACTTTGATATTCTTCAGCTAAACTTTTGTGTAACTACTAAACATGCCGTGGATTTGTTAATCAAACTTTTTAAGTGAGCTACCATTATTCTATAGAAATATGTCATCTTGCAGTCTTGCAGTAGTTATAACTACTTTGAGCCTCCTTAAACTTAAATTTAATATGGATCAGCCTGGCTATCTGTTTGAGAATCACCTTTTTACATCATTATCACACAGCAAAATGTTTTTGATGAAAAAAAAAAAGATTAAAAAGAGATTAAAAAGATTAAAACTGCAAGATTTCCCTTCCAAAGGATACGTTGATAAATTATAATCAGTCAGTATCTTTTATCTATTTGAAGAAAGAGATGTCTCTTTGAATGTGTGTTGTGTGTGTGCGCGCGTGCGTGCGTGTGTGTGCGCTGCATGCTGACCTTTACACACTCTGTTTCATTGAAAGGAGGGCAGCTGAAGGAGTAGGAGATGAGTGTGGGCCCAGCCACAGTGTCTGTGCAGTCAAACTTCATGCAGTTTGATACCCAGGATCTTCCCGGCTGAAAAGCATTGACAACATCAGCAACTGAACTACAGTGAGCAACTTAATTTGACTTACAACAAAATGGGAAAGAGATTGGTGACGTATGATCAGCCTTCTTACTTTGTGTGAGTCCGCCTGAGATCATTTTTAAATCAAAGCTGGACAAAGTTAGGACTAAGGCCAACTTGACTATACTGTCAAATCACCATCGACTAATTAAACTAACAGTAATCAATTTCAAAGATAAGAAAAAATATACAATAATAAATATTGTGTTAAACTTTATCATGATTGTGTTGCTGAGGTTAAACAAAAAACTGCATAATATGCTAGCTAGCTAATAAGCTAGCTTTGCTAACTTCAACTCAGTTCCCACCAGCAGACCAAAGTGTTACACAAGTACACATCAAGACTGAAGAATAATGTAAAAGACTGTTTATATAATATTGTGGCATGTTGGGAGCAGCTAGTTATCTCCCATCATGCCTCGGGTTGTGTTCCCATTCAAGACGATTAAACTGTGTATTTGCATTTGTTATGGCTAAGTAATTCATATGACCGTTCCTGTTCACTGATAGATGTTGTTTTGATAGAAAGACATGTTACACCATGAGTGAGTTCATGTGCGAGCACAGTGTAGCACGGGGAACTGTTCAATAAAGAGCTCCCCCTTCCTGCTTGGGGTGGAATAACAGACTCAACCTCTGTGTGGGTCCTTTGTTGTTAAAATCCCTCAGTTCGCCACAATATAGTGTGTATGTTAAAATAGTTTTTTATTTGGATGCAAAATGTTGCTGAACATCTTTTCCTACCTTATAGAGACCTGTTGTTCCATTCTCATGCTCATAGATGCAGGAAATATTCTTACAGATTCCGCAGCACGTCGACTGGTCTTTGGGAGGCACGTAGATCTGATTCTGAAAAACAAACATGATTACTTTCCTTTTCATTTAAAATACTGTGACAGTGAGCTTTAATGAGTCAATGATCATAACCACTTATCCAAAGATTAACTGTGACAGTTCAAACAAAATTAAAAGCGTCTAGATTCGTGCTCCGCTCTCAGGGGAGAAGTTTATGTGAGGTCAGGGCTGTAACTAGGGATGCTGTGGTATCTGTGACAACGCAGAGTCTGCTGAGTTTAATGTTGCTCTGTGTTTAGTACATTACACACCAGCAAGAAAGCAGACATAACATAAATGAAGCTAACAGTTTTTTCTTTAAATCGTTTTTTTCTCCTGCTTCAGCAACAAGTTCTGTTTGTGTGCAGCAGTTTATTAGTTAAACTTTGGTCAAGTGAGATGACACAGCTGAAATGTGTAGGTTGCCAGTATGCCAGTCCAACATAGGGCTAATACAGTGAGGCAGACAACCAAACATACCTATGAGTGAAGATACCAAGAGAGGAAGCCCCCCACCCAAGCAGGAACCTTCCCCCTACTTGTCTGGGGGCAACAGTGTTAACCAATGTGCTTTTAAGTCACAAACTGCCAAAAAAAATCACAACTTTAGAGTGGGCCATCAAATACTTATCCAGATCACAGTCCATCACTATTCACAGGTTATTTTAATGTGTGAAGTACAGAAAGAAAGTAATATGTTTCCTTGTCATAGGCTTGCTATAGTACACAGACTAATGAGAATTAAAATCCAAATGCAATCTTGACACTGAGCTGAATTTTGGTGAAGACCCATTCGGCAATAATTGTATGTTCGATTTAAACTTTCTGGTAGCGAACACTCCCGCTAAAAATCCCATCAAAATATTTTCATCAATTTGACAAGTTATGCAACCAATTCATATGGAATAACAGAAGCCCTAGAATAAAGCTTAAAAAGCTACAGCAACCAGTGGAGTCGGGTGGCCTGGGGGTCCCAAATGTACTGTTTTACCATTATGCATTCAGTCTGAGACACATGGTTCACTGGGCTCTCTCTCCAGAACAAGCCCCCCCATGGTTTAGTCTTGAGAGTACCCTGTGCTCACCACTCCCTCTGATGCACATTTTAACCACCAAGCTCTCATCAGATATACAAACCAACCCCATTCTTTCGTTCCTGCAGACGGTCTGGAAGAAGGTGGCCTTGCCGTTAAATTTTAACTCCCACCTTCATACTGAGGCCTCCATATGGCTCAATCCCAAACTCTGCATTAATAAGTCTCCATTTCTAGGGGTCAAGAGAAGGATACTTGTTCTTGGAGACCTGTAATCAGGGGAGAATTCTCAAGTTCTTCAATGACCTTAAAGCACAGTTTCAGTTGCCACAGAGTCAATTTTGGAGGTATTTGCAGCTCCGGCATTTATTGCTCAAAACCTTTGGTCTCCACACCACCTCCAACTATTGACTATCTCAGCTACATCAAAAAAACATCTTCGTGAAGTCTCTAAATATTACTCAGTGCTAATTAAGGGCATGAGTAAAGGGCTAACCGCCCTACGGTTAGCTCGGGAAGCTGACCTTGGTGTGGTTTTTACAGACCAGGAACGGACTGTAATTTTGCAGAATAGTAAAAAGATGTCCAGGGAACTTAGAATTAGACTAATCCAATTCAAATTATTACACCGAATTTACTGGTCACTACACAGATTGTACAGGGTGAACCTCATACAGTCTCCTGAATGCTGAAGATGTCAGACTGGGGTGGTCACATATTGACCCATATGATTTGGAGCTGTCCTATCAAATCAACTATATGATGGGATATTCCTTTTTCGCCAAGACTATTCGTTTTGGGGGACCCATCACTCCTTAAACACGCTCTGCCTAAGGCTGCTGAGTGGGTACAGACTGCATTGATGCTGGAGTGTAAACTCATTATCTCCCAGTGGAAGGCCCCTTCCACCCCACTTGTCTCTGTATGGCATATTCAACTAGGGAGACTCGCTGCACTAGAACAACTCTCATACAGGCATCTGAATACACTGGAGAGCTTCCACCTGAAGTGGGATCCATATCTGTTCAGAATAAAAGGATCAGACTAGAACTTAGAGTGGGACAGACATTGGAATTCTGACGAAGCACTCTCAGAGATGACAGAGTGTGGCATGCAACAAGACCCACGTAGTCAAAGGCTGGCTGTGTTGTTGTTGTTTTTTTGTTTTTTGTTTGTTTGTTTATCTCTTGTTTTGTTTGTCCCCCCTCATTTTGGTTTTGTATTCTCTACTGGTCGGCTGTTATGCTGATGCTATTTTTATGTGATGTGATTTGTATCTACAGTGGACTGTAGTGTTCTAAAAATTCAATAAAATATTAATCACAAAAAATAAACTTTCTGGTAGCTCTTCTCATATTTAACACATTTTTAATGTGAAAATAAAGAGAAACAAGACTAACAATGAGGATGGAACCTTAACATAAAGTCAGTGAGATCAAGATCTTCAATAAAAGGTCTGTGCTGGTGTGTCGCGGTCTTACTGGTTGGCATTGGTTAGAGCAGTTGACGCTGAAAGTGTGGAGCACATGGAAGCCGCTTGCTGGGTCAAGGCTGCGGCTGCACTGCCGGCTGTAACACAAACCGTCGTCTCCACGCTCAACCAGAGTCTGACCGGGCCTCAACACTCCTCGCTCTCCAAACACACACACAGCCTCACGCACTAAACACACAGAGGTCAGAGGGTCCAAAGTTGCAGGCTGCACTTACAAGTGGTAAAAACATCTGTTTTAAACACTAACCAAACATTAGACAAACAGAATAAAAACAACATGTCCTAACGTGCACTCTGGCTCAGTTCAGAGCAGGTTTGGTAAGATTAAACTTAAAATGAATTCCTCGTCAGAACGTACCACACTTGTATCTTTTGCAGGCACACTGGTTCTGTGGATCGGCTAGAAAGGCCCGGTCCAGCTGGGCAGCCTCCCCCTGCAGAACACAGACAGAGAACCAGGGTTAATGCATACAGAATATACAAAGAGTACATTACACAAGGAACCCAAAAATATTAAAACACACAGAGCCAGCAGACAGACACCTGGATATATGACCCATAAAGTCAGGTTTTATGAGCAATAATCTGGAGATACAGTGTATTCAACAGGTTCAGGACTTACCAGGCCACATTTTGGGGAGGCAATCTTTTCACAGGAACACTCTGAAGACAGAAAATAAAAAAACGACCATTATTAAGTTGTTTAGCTGAGATGACACCACACAACACCAGATACTCTGCTTTGTCATAAAACAAATGTAATGTCATTTTAAATTGTGGTTCTAAAAAGATATGACAGGCCTAGTACTGATCTGAAAGAAAGGCTTTGGACTAATTTTATTGTTCCTATCATGGAAGGGTTTTCCCCTCATACCGCATGTTTGGTTGGGACAGCAGTGACCAGGATTGGACACAGAAACCACTGACATCCCAACAGGACACGTGAGCTGAGGACACCTGTAGGGTTCACACACTGTGCACACACAAAGAAAAACATGCAAGTCATTTATGCGTTCTAGCTGTCCAATAGTGGGATCATTTTAACATGAAGTGGATCAGCGCATTTTTATTCTTGGACTCCACTGCAGTGACTTTACATGAGTCATAGTTCAGAACAACAAAGGGTCTACTACACATGGCCTCACTACCAGAGATGGGCAGTAACATGTTAAAGCAACGTGTTACTGTAATCCGATTACTTTTTTCAAGTAACAAGTAAAGTAACGGTTTACTATTGCAAAAACAAAAGTAATTGGATTGCTGTTACTTTCCTGTAAACACGCTTACTGCGTTACTACACTGTGATTTCGTTTGTGAGAGTGTCTCATGACAATGACGTACGAGTGTGCGACGCCTGTGGCAGCAACAGACGTGTGTAGATCAACAATGGATAATATATGGAGTGCCGGAGAGGGTATGACCATTAAAGCTTGGAAGCACTGACATTGCTTTGAATTTGATTCCGTAAAAAGTAACAAAAGCATTAGCGTCTGCTCTACACTCTGCGTTTGGAGAATATTTCTTTCTACGGCAAAAAATTAAACTTTAAATCTAAGCAAGCACCTAGCACACTGCCACGGGAATGTGAAATTTACAGAGAAACCCCCAGATCCCCCACTGACATGACTGTTGAGGCACCGGGCAGACCTCCACCGATGGAATATGCTGAAAAAATTGAATTGGGCTGAAAGGTCTATTGCTTTATTACGTATTCATGTTTTTAAAAAGTAACTAATTACTTTTGAAACTAAGTAATCTGTAAAGTAATGTGATTACTTTCTTGGAGAAGTAATGAGTAATTAGTAACAATTACTTTTTTCAAGTCAATTGACCAACACTGCTCGCTACACACTAGCTTTTTTCTGAGTGGCCCCTCCTAAACAGAATGTTTGAACAGAACATGGGCTTACAAAACAGAGATATTCACTCTCACTGACATCATACAGAACCAAGGGTAGAAAAATAACTGTCCAAAACCGAGAGTCTGCAGCCTAAGCTTTTGGCTCTCAGGGATTACTTATGCACACACTGACCTTAGTATTTGAATCTCTAAGCAAGTCTAATGTGTACAGCCGCCTTTGTAACAGTAGACGTATGAGAGAAAATGAGGAAAGTATAATAATTCCCTTCTAAGTAACAAAGAATTGAAGTCGTGTTACAATTTTAAAATGATCCAACTATCAAAAAGCTTAAGATTAAGAACCAAGAATAAAAGCTGAGAACCCACATCTTTGTCACAGTTATATGTCACAGATATTTACAAAAAACACAAGTGACACGTTAAATCAGCCGACCTTAGACCTTTTCACTTTTTTACTCCAACTATTAGCTAAAGCTACAGGTGCGTGAGTGTGTGAGTGAAAGCGCGTGTGCTCTGACCACACTGGTAGGTGGGGCAGCAGCGATCCGTGGTGTTGCTGTCGACAGTCAGAATCTCACCATCCTGGCAGAGGGGAGGCGTCTCCACACAGGGAGCACACACTGTATGAAAACATACATTTGTAACCGCACTGATAACTTTAAATTATTCTCTAATAGCTAAATGTTGTGCCACAGAACAGAGAAGTTAATGTGATCAGTTTTTTTGAACTGACTGCAGATGTGGGCGAGACAGCAGCTGCCTTCAGCTCTGGTTGCAATCAGAATCTGGTCGTCTCTGCAGGTGGGAATGTCTGACTCACAGAGCACTGGATCACATTCTGCAACACAACAAAGAGGATTTGCTTTCTCTTTTTTTATACTTTTGATAGTTTAACTTCTCAAGATTACAAGAAATAAGACAAATGTCTACCTCTGTGTGCCTACAGGTTGCAAGATTGGTGATAATAAAATTAAGAACATGTGCTCTAGAGGAGCAATAATGACACAGCCCCGAAACAGGAATGGTTTTACAGGTGAAGGACACTGACCTTTTTCCCTCCTCATCTCTGACCTTTTTCCCTCCTCATCTTTTCTGATAGTTTTTTCACTAGTTTTGCATTTGGCTTGGGTCTGTGTCACTGCAGGTAGCATGAGATGGGGTGATACCTAGACCCTACAGATCACATCATCATTTTAATTTTCAGGTGTTTTTGAATTCAGGTCTCTGCAGGCTGATCACACTACCCAGTCCATATGCATATAGATATCCCACATATTTTTTTCCATTGAGATCTGACATGTTTTTAAAGTGTTCCTTTAATTTTCTTCAGCAATGTAGATATGCTTTATACAAGAGGTAACCTAACCTAGGTATGATACAAGCATGAAATTGTCTAATCTAAGGCTCTGTAAGAACGCAGTGGGTTTTTGTTTGGTTTTCAGTGATCACAGTGTACATAATAAGTGGTCAACTGGAAACTCACCACAAACATAGTCTGGACAGCAGGAGTCCTGTCTGTAGTATGACACCAGCTTCTCCCCATATTTGCACTCAGGAGGGAGCTGGTCACACAGACTCTGGTTACATACTGCAAAGTTAGAAATCCCATTGTCTCATTAGATAGCTCATTCTTTTTTCTGTTTATTATGTCATAAATCAAAACAGTCTCAGGTCTAAAGAGTAACAGTTATTGATTTGGAGGCTATCTTGCATGTTTCAGACAAAAGCACTTAAACTCACCACAGACTTTTTGTGGGCAACAGCTGGTGTCATCAGCCAGACTGATGATCACCTCCCCTGCTCGACGGCACGCAGGCGCCACCATGCTGGAGCAGTTGTATTCCACGGGAACGATGGTGTCATTGTCGCAGCGATACATGCAGCAGGCATCCTTCGAGGCTTTCCAAACCTCACCATGTGCACGAGGAACACCACCGCTGTCAGTGCAGGCTGCAGACAAACATACACTCTATTTTAGATACACATGACTACAATGAATCTTTTAAAGCTCAAACAGAATGTGGTTCAGCTGACTGTTGCTGATTCAAATGGGAAACTTTCCCAAACTAAGAAATAATTGTATACGAATGACCTTTCACACAGATTTTAATGTAGGGCTATATTCATAGAGTATTTATAGAATTGTGCTTTTGTTATAAGTTGGATGTGCATTAGTTTCTAAAGATAATGAAATGGGTCTGAGAATAGACGACAAGACAGAAGACAAAATTTCAAGTTATGCATTTCAAAGTGCATAGAGTTAATGAGCTGAAATTTTGAGAAAATAACTCAAAATTTAAAGTTAGCTCTGCCAATCAGGATGCTCCATGAAGGTTCATTTCCTTGTCAGCTCCCAATGCTAAACAGGCAGGTCAGAAATGAGCAAACTTTCAGAACAATGGCAATTTATTCATGTTTACTATACATTGGTAGCTCACTGTGGAATCTGCTACCAGGTAAAAAGGTAATGATGCTATTCACACACTTGATTAGCAGAGCTAACCCACAATTTCAGCTTACTAACTCAAAATTTTGAGAAAATAACTTGAAATCTTTTCTCCTTTTTCATAGGCAAAAACAAGTTTCCTTAGACTAAACAGTTGCATAGTTCTCAGCATTTTCTTCTGATCCCATCACAATAATCCAATACACAGACCTTCCCTTCTTGCTTTGTGCTCTGTTGGTAAACTGGGCTCTTACCGCATTTGTCAGGTGGGATGCAGAGTGCAGAGTATGGCCGGTGAAGGAGTGTTCCCTCAGGGCACACACAGCCCTCAGTCAGGCCAGAACACTGATCTGGATCAGAATCAAAGTCGTGGTTGGGGCAGGACTGAGACGTGCAGGCTGGTAGACAGGCCTGATACCTCAGAGTATTGGGACACACAAAGGCTGCAGGAGGAGACGCAGACATGTCAGTGCCATCAATCCATTATTTAGCACTTTCTCTAAAAACAGATCAATGGGATTAACTGGAGACCAAAATCAAAGCAGAGTTGCTCAGATGGAAGCGAATATAACAGAAGTTGTGACAGCTGGACATTAAACTAAAGTGTTTGCTTGCTACACAACAAGATTTAATCTGACAACAATCTTACGGCAGTAATTTGGACTCCTCCACTCAATGCAGATATTGAATTTGTGACAGGAAGCCACATAAGCAGCCAGAGCCACACACTGGTTGTTCACATACTCCGAGTCTCGTACCCAAACCTCACAAAACGTGGTGGGTGGGACCTAAAAACAAAGAAAGAGCAATTACTTGAAACTAGTAATATTGTTACATAAGTATATTTGAATACCCCTATTTTGTAATTATATTTGCAACAATCTGCAATCATTTAAAATGATCTTTTTGCTCTTTTGACATCTTCTACTCAGAAATAACAGAAAGCTTCCCTGTAACTAAACACATCTGGAAATGAATGAATGTATGGATTTACATACAAAGGCATGGCAGGGGGTAAAGGCCTGGTTCTGCAGCATGAAGAAGCAGCTGGAGCAGTCACTGGTAGAGCAGTTGAGCTCACGGCGGCGGCTGTGGCTGATGTAACTTGTGGTATTAGGAATCTGCCAGCTGTCGATGAACACAGCTGGATCCTCACTTTCACCCACTGTGGTCCCATTTGCCAAAATCAGGTCGTTTGATGGATCTCCATCACAGAAGCCTAAGACATGCATTTGCATCATGAACATCACCTCAGTCGTGACATATCATGACATTTGTGTCCACAAAAGTGAAATAATGTTTTGATGGTGTGCTGAGAAAAACAGGGTCAGTATGCCACAGGTTTTAAACCTACCAGAATGATATCTTTACTGTGTAATGTTAAAAGGAAAGAAATTGTTTTTTTACCACAGAGGCCCATGGTGGGCAGCTTGTTGCTGGAGCTGTCAGTGTCGATGACCATCATCCCTGTACTGTGGTACCACTGTAACTTAAGACCGGCCGGGCTGCGGATCAGGTACATGTTGCCTGTGTCGTAAATCTCAAAGCCGTACTTTTTGAATCGAGGTTTAGCATACCGTGAATTGACATACAGCTGAAAGAAAGCATCAAGAACTAAATGTCATCACGTAGATTTTTATCAGTGTTTTAGCTTTAATCAGAAGCAGAGTATCTCCTACCCTCCTCTGCAGCCTGTTGATAATGATGTGGTTGGATTTATGGGTGATGTTGAGTGCCACCAGACACAAGTTGGTAAAATTCCAGAAGAGCTTTAAAAAGCAAAAGAAACTCAGATGACAGAACAGAAACTTTTGTCCAGATCACTGTCAGAGCAACTGGCATGTGTGACATTTACTCACTGGTGACTGTGAGTCAGCGGGACACTCCTGAACCAGAACACTGACAGTTTCATTGGGCAGCTGGGTCACTATAAAAGAGGCAGCCTTGTAGATGGCAACGCTGTTCCCATCAAATGTGATCACGTTCAGATCAGGGAACATTGTGCATCGACCTGGCACAGTAGGGATACCAAAGAGCACAGTTAAAGATAACAATCTGCCAAAGCCAAATATTTATGGGAGACATTTAAGAATTATCATCATTCAGTCAGAGCAAAATTTAAAAGTGTGGAGCAGATTTTCTTGTAAAAAAAATAAATAAATAATGTGTTTCCTTCATTTATGTGTTTTCCTCACATGGACAGTCCCACTTAGGGCAGCACTTGTCTCCATTTACGAGGATAGCAAAGCCAAGCAGGCCACAGTTTGGAGGGTCGGCAGTGTAAGGGCAGCTCTGGGATTTGTTGAACAGGACGAGCTGGTTGTTGACACAGATGTACTTGGTACAATCATCAACGATCTCTGCATATGGAGGCTGGTGCAAAATAACAAACAAACAAAAAAAAACAATAAAAATCAAAATAAAGGTTATTTGTTGTTTGTAATTAGGAAAGTAAAACCATGTTTTTTGGCATTGCAGTAACCAGTGAGCAACACTCAAGATTCACGTTCTATTATTTAAAAATACATTTAGTTGCAAGATCATAATTAGTAGATCATAATTGCATAACAGACCAGATTTAAGTGCACCTTAAATTTGGAATATTTAATCAGATATCTAAGCTTAATCTTTAGATGTCCTGTGTCTGAAATAAGCATGCTGTGCTAAACCAGGAAAAACACAAAAAAGGAACAATTCTACAGTCCTAGATATTCAGTCAGGACCACTAGTCAAAAAAGGCTGAAATTTCCCTCTGCAGGAAATATTATATATTATATTTATATAATATATAATATGTTTACAAATATATTATAAATATATTATATTTGTCAGCTTTGCTTTGTCCTGGCAATTCCCTTCCACACAAAACCATGAAGTTCAGGAAAGAGAGTAGCAAAAAGAAATCCAGTGCAGAACAGAGAATACAAAAAATACAACAATTCAGACACTGCATAGAAAGAGAAGCTAGGATGAAGGTGGGTTGCAAAGTGGCTTGCAGATGTGCAGCAACTACAGGTGGGCAAAAGAAACTTAAAGCATGCCATCTGTGTAAAAGAAGAAGCAGATGCAAGCACTGAGATCAGCTGATGTGCTATTACTGCCTGAGTTTGACTTTGTAGCCTGCCTGAAGTAATCCAATAATAAACTGAAATGAAGCTGAATAATAAGTGAGCCCACCGTGCACATCCTTGTAGGTAATAAACTCATAGATGTTGCTCCCTCTGTTGTGTGACTGGTTGTTTCCGCTGGTGTGTGAGGAAAAGCCAGCGCTGGAGATGTTGCTTCACTTGGACTCGTCCGATCAACTTTATCCAGCACAGTTGTTTGGACTTTAATGGCTGATGGACGGGAGGTTGTAGCAGATGTGGGAATACTGAGTTTTTGGGTGGAGCTCACCACATCAGGCACTGGTGTCACCGGTTGGGATGCAGATGGTGACACATCAGTCTCTGTAGTTGTTGAAGTTTCCTCAGATGTGGTTGGCTCTCTGTGGACTGAAGTTGGTATAGCTGTAGATGTTGTGAGTGTAGTTAAAGTAGGAAGAGGCAGTGGAGTAGTTATGGTGGTCGAGTGAGGTTCTGCTGTGGTTGTGTCAGGAGGTTTGGTTGTTTTTGCTGTGGTAACTGGCTCTGCTGATGTTGTGATGGTTGTAGTTGTCACTTCTGATGTGGTTGTTGTGTCAGAGCTTGGTGTGACAGTTGGTGGGCTGACAGTGGTTGATCTGGTGGTTACTGCTGCTGGCCTTGTTGCTACTGTTACCCTAGCGGTGAATGGCCTGATGGTTGCATGCTCAGTCGACGTGGTTCTGGGAGTAATTCTTGTTGTCACAGGAAGTCTGGGTGTTGTCCTGAGGGTGGTCGTCTGTGTGATAATGGTAGTTGTCAGAGTGGATGTAACCCTTGAAGTGAACACCAGCCGGGTGGTGACTTTGTCCAGGATAGTTGTTGTCCTAGGAGGTGCTGTGGAAGTAGTAGTGCCAAGTGGTGATGAAGATGGATGGGATGTGGTTGCAGATGTTGTTGACACCTGGACTCTGTCTGTTAGTGGATGCATTGTCTCTGTAATCAGTTGAACAATGACAGGTCTTTGTGTTGTGGTAGCAACAGTAGGTGGTGCACTTGCAGTTGCTGTGATAAGCTTTGTCTCAGGGGAAGAATGCATAGGCAGGGGTGTAGACAGTTTTTTGGTTGTGGTGGCTATGAATTGTGCAGTTGATATTTCAGGAGGTGTCCTGGTTTGGGCAGTGGTAGGTATCGATGCTGATGTTGCAGATGTTACAGTTGGCTCAGTTGTTAGTGGAACATGAGGAATTGTGGTAGTTGCAGTGGACGCGACCACATGGACAACAGTTTCAGATTTGACCTCTGGTGTCGTCTCCACTGTGGCTCTGTAGACTGGGGTGGGGGAGCTCTGCCAATGAGAGGGGCGCCAAGGTTCTGAAATACTAATAGTAGTAGGTGGACCAGTGGAGCTATCAGTTATGGGGGATTTTGACACAGGAGTAGTTTCTATCAGGTTTGTTGTGATTATAGGAACTGTGGACACAGTGGATATTTTTGGTATTTCTGGAGGTCTTGAGGTTGCAGTGGCAATTGTGATGGTCGTTCTGTCTGTAACCGGGACAGCTGCAGACCAGGAAGTTTTCTCAGTATAGACTGTAGATTTGGACAAAGGAGCAGTTGTGGTTTCAGCCTGTGCTGTGCCAGATGCAGGGGAGTCTGTTATAGACACTTTCTTTGTGATTGTTCTCCAGTCTGTAGTAGCTGAGGTAGAGGGAGATGGTACGTGTGTGCTTGGTGCAAAATGAGTGAGGGTTGTTGTCGTTAATTTGGGAGCCGTTGTTGTGGGCGTTGTCAGGTCTGTAGAGGTGGTGTGCAACATCCTCTCTGTGGTTACAGATGGTGTTATGATGTGTGGTGTTGTTCTAGTAGTAGTAAAAGGTGCAGCTGGTGTGACTAATTCCGTCATCTTCGTTGAAATGATTTCTGGCAAAGCTGTAGTTACTGTTTCCACAGAAGGAGAAGCTGGAAGAGCTACAGCTGTTGTGAAGGCTGTGCTTGGTGAGCCAGATGTGATGGATGTTGTAACTGTAGTTCCTTCCACTGTTGAAGATTTTGTTCTGGTGTCAGTGTGTGCAGAGATAGTTGTACTGGGAACTATAGTTTTTTCTGTAATTACAGAAGTTTCCGGGACCAGAGCAGGACTGGGGCTGGAAGCTGTGATGATCGGAGCGATCCTTGTGGAATGTGTTGTGGCCTCTGTGGTCTGCACAACTATAGGAGTGCTCCTTGTGGTTGTCCCCTCTAGAGAGGTTGTGGTCGGAGCTGCAGTGGTGGTTGCTGACTCAGTAGTCACAGGAGTGATGGTGAATAGTGGCTGGAGGGAATCGGTGGACTTGGTGGTAGAAGTGAGCCAGAACAGGGGTGTCGTGGTGAAAGAGGTGCTACTTGTCCTAGAGGTGCTGGGACCAAAGGGACTGACAGCAGAGCTCAACGGTCCACTCAACCATTTTGTTGTACCCATAATAGTAGTGGGCGGAGCCACTGTCACTTTGACAGTTGACAATGGTTCCACCACCTCTGGTCTCACAGGAGTGGGCACTGCCGGAGGCATTGGGGGTTCTATTGTACTGGAAGGTTCAGGACTTGCAGAAGGAGAGATAATGGCAGGTGGTGTTTCTGAGGAGCTGGTGTGCAGACTCGCCTCTGGAACAGTGGAGGTGATTTTGGTTGTGGGAGCAGTGTGTGGAGGAGCAGCAGAGGCAGCAGTAGTGGAGGTGGTGGTATTAAAGGTACTGGTGGAGGCAGTAGTACTTGCAGTGGTTGTAGAAGTGGCAGCTGGCTGTGCAGCAGACGGTGTAACGGGCTGCACAGCGACTGGAACCTTAATACCTGTTCAGCCAATAAAAAGTTTGTTAGAGAAATAACGAGCTCAGAAAAGAGATACAGGTCATTAAGTGGACTGAAACAGTGCAGATGAGTTTGTTCATACTTTTAGCGTTTTAGCAGGGATATCAATGATTAGGTTAAATTTGAAACAACTGTAAATTCGTTTTCCTAAATGTGCAAAATTGTGCATCTTGGTGTATTACTAAAACCATAGCAATATTAACTATTAACTTGATTAACACAGAGAATTTAATAAGCTATATTACCTAACGCAAATATCAATGTAATTCGCATTTTTCATTTTTGTTATATTACTATATTATTGTGTTGATTTTACCTATAGCTTTTCTATAGGTTGCCTATTAAACAACACCTATTAACAAATTGCAGCTCAGACACTAAGGTAAGATTTAAAAATGACAGAACAAAATTTTATGACTAACAGTTGAAACCTTTCAATGACATCCGAACAATATACATATATACCTTAAAAACCTGTTATTAGCTTTATTAGCAAAAATTATCAAGTATCAGTATCAGTGCTTACTAATATTTTAAAAAAACTACCAACTAACTAGTATGTTTAGCCTTTATAAATACTGTTCATCATAAAGTGTTACACAGATACTCACAGTCTTCAATGTACACACACCGATGAGTGACCTCATCCAGGACCATGAGTGGGGGACAGACAGGAAGGCAACCCTCCACTCTGAACAGAAAACAATTGACAGCTGAAACTATAAACTGCATCGGTACTCAGAGGCCAAAGCATTAAGAGCTGTTAACAAAGGACTGCGCATACAAAATAAATAGAAGGAAAACTAATCAAGGATTTTATTTCTAAAAGAGCAACACTGTCATAATTCTTTTTTTAAACAATATCATGATCAGCATCAGGAAAGTTTCAGCAACATCTCTGAAATAAACTTTAAAAAATACTTCAAAATATTTTCATTAATATTTAAGATCATAAATTGTATGACGGAGCAATAATCCCACATTTCTCTCAAGTATAGTAATGATGGATAGCTCCCATAAGCGTATTTTTGTTGTTGTTGTCGTCATTACAAGATCTTTTATTGTGATTATAAGATCCCAGTTTCATAATTATGTGATTCCCCCCAAGTTCTCATTAAGTCTGAATTGAAAAATGAAATTTGTAAAGTTTCTGTCAGTTCAAACATCAGCTCAGCATTTTCACTAAACATGTATTTGCAAGTAGTCAGGTTGATTAATGTCATACTAGAGTAAAAATAGGATGGCAGTCTGGAAAATCAATGCAATTACAAGTAGTTGTGGCGACCAAGCGTTCACCCAGTGGTTGACTGTGCAACTCTCTGGCCAACCATTTTTGGTTGGAAAGAGATTACACGGAAGAAACTTCACAGTTAACCCAGAGAAAGACAAGCTGCATCGAAACAAGTGAGGCCCAACTCAGAGTGACTGCAGTCACTGCTGGATGGGTTGGAGAAAGTTTGCAGGTAAACAAATAGATTGCCATTACGCTGCAATCAATCTGAATCAGTCTCCACTGATGAGCACAACTCGTTTCCAGTGTGTCTCTTGTTGGTTGGGCTCTGAATGAAAACAGATTTGCAATTTTTGCAAATTTATCACAGCTAATCAGCATATTATCACAAACAGATTGATCTCATTTAATCACAAACTGATACTAGAATGATGCTATCTTATTGCTGATTTGATGCAGCAGAGTCACTTTGTGGATGCACATGCTTGAAGACCTGGTCCCAGTCTTTGAAGTCTTTAATGTATGCGTAGAACTGACTGTTCAAGCTGATAATTCTGGCTGTAATGTTCAAAGTAAAGGGGAAGATCTTACTGTGGGATGGTGATGCAGGCTTCAGCGAACGGGTCGCTGCATGTCTTGAAACAGGGGCTGACGCAGGCATCGTACCTCCACTGACAGCGAGGAGCTGGTGGGGCGTCTGGGTTTGGGCCTGATCAAAAACACACAATACTTATTAAATGCTTAGTAAGCTTAGTAAGCATTATGGTAATATGTGACAGTTTAATCACCCCTAAAGTTACAATGTACACATGGCTGAGAAACAATCAAGACAAAGCTTTAGTATCATTCATTCATGCAAATATCATTCATTCTGTAAATTTACATTATGAAACAAAAATAATGCTCATTTTAAATGTTTCTGTATATTAAACATCACATTTTCTATCTGGACTGACTAGAAAAAGATCAACACCATTAGCATGTCTGTATCTGGACTGGCATTTACTGCCATCAGCAAATGTTGCTGATATATTTTTAGCATCAGTTATTAGCCTCACTGCCCTGTTAACAGAATATATGAGCAGAGGAGCCAGTAGTCTTGACCCTTGGCACCACAGAGAAGCAATAACGACCCACTGAATCCTTGCCGATACCCGAGTCAAAAATATAAAGCAGCAAATTAACCCAAGGTCCCTAAGGTAAACATCTAAATAAACAGGATGTTGATATAGAAGCAAACTGAACTGCGCAAAGAAAACAAGAGCAGATGTAAGATGTAAAAGTGAGGTCAGAGGTCAAATGTCGCATGATATTTGAATGCAAACTATAATGTGATATTTAGAATCCTTACATAACAGTATCATTTCATAAATGTTGCAAATACAAACCATGTAGAAGAAGAGCAACGTGAACAATCATTCTTTATATGCCAATGTGTTTTCAATACAAATAATGGCAGTAAGAAACATTATGAAACAAGACAAAATAAACAAAATAGCTCTATATAGCATCATTATTATTTTTGACCTTCAGATCAATCTGTTAACCTTGAAAGAAAGGCAGAGGTCAGATTTCTAATTCCTAATTCTTAATTTCTAATGCTTTTTGTCAATTGTCAACAAGTAAAACATGAAGTCGACCTTGAAGACCTTCGTGGTTGTAAGGCAAATTTTAATGGATTATTAACACGACTCCCTCTACACTCCTACAAAGATTTACCAGAATTCATTTAAAACTTTTTGAGCTTTCGTGTTAACAGACAGAAAGAATATCACGCTTGCAAACGCTGCCAAAACAGTCGAAGTAACTAACATCTCTACTGTGATTTAACTCTAGAATATGCTGGAAGTCTGTTTATATGCAAGTCATGGTTCAAGTAAGTCTTTCACGTCAAAAAAGTTAGGTTAGAAAAAGTTGTGCTTGTGAGGTCTTAAGCAGCCAGTTTCCAGTTCCAGATCTGTCATCATGACCGCATTATTTTTTTTGTTATGATCATAAATAAAAAAAATCAGCAACACTGATGATTACTGAGTGTTATGTGATGTGCTGCTGACCTGACAGTTTGAACAGCGTGGCCTTGCGGAAGCTGTCCAAGTGTTTGTATTTGATTAGGTAGAGGCGAGGTACAGCAGCATATAAGAAGAAGCCGGGTTTTGCATGGGACTCGAGTGAGTCATAGCCTGGGATCCAGGTGTTCCTGCGGAGGATGAAGGTGGCTCTTTCCCAGAATGCCTCGCTCTCCTGCCACTTGGCCAACGTCAACTGGCCATTGGGGCTAGCAGACAGGAAGTAGTTTGGCCTGTCAGCTGCCTCAAAGGAAACTCGTGACATGTCTGAGTAAAAAAAAAAGAAAAAAATTCATAAGTATAAAGAAAAGCTCGCAAAGCAGAAGAGCTACTGTGATTATGTTTTTTAAAAGACAAATAAGACAAGTTGCTTGAATTTACCAGTTCTACTTATGCACAGTCACACTCTGGTGTTAAAAAATCTGAATAAGTTGGGGTGGAGTATTCTTAAAAAAACTGAAGAATTAATTAAAGTGTTTGAGGCTTAAAACGGATGAAAAGTGAAAAGTGAAACAAGGTACATCAGTGTGACTTCAAGGCCGAAGCAGAAACGTGAGCATTGATATTGTCATGTTTTTGAGTGGCAGGTTATTTCAAGTGTAACATTTCTATCAGCTCAGCAAATATCAGCAAACACAAAAAAATGGCTGCTAGCTAAAGGTATTGTATTCCTGATAAGAAACGCAGGACTGGACAGGAAGAATGGCTTTTTTTAAAATCAGATATTGGACCTGTATATGATATGAAGGTGTGTTTTTTCATACTGGGAAACATCTTGCCAAACAATAGTACACTAACTTTGTGGTATTGAAAGGTTTCATGAAAGTACTCTGTTGCACTATGTTGGACTGGTGCACAGTAGCTGCGGTGTTCTCAGTCAGTGTTAGGTTACATCAAGAGATCAAATTAAACTTAAGCTGATGATGCTTAGATTCATTCACTGAATTCAACCTTTATTTCAACTGTTTGCTCTCTAGTATAAATACAGTATAAACAGCATACTGCCACTGTAAGGAACAGCTTTTATATATAATTATTAACACTGAGTTACATACTGTTTAACTTAGTTGTGTAAACCAACAAAGATCAAATTCCTGCTCCTCACATACAAGGTCTTGAATAATCAGTCCCCATTTTATTTTAATGACCTTATAGTACCCTATCACCCTTGCACTGCAGGTTTACTTGTTGTTCCTAGAGTATTTAAAAGTAGAATGGGAAGCAGAGCCTTCAATTTTCAAGCCCCTCGTCTATGGAACCAGCTTCCAGTTTGGATTCAGGAGACAGACACTATCTCTACTTTTAAGATTAGGCTTAAAACTTTCCTCTTTGCTAAAGTATATAGTTAGGGCTGGACCAGGTGACCTTGAATACTCCCTTAGTTATGTTGCAGTAAGTGCAGGCTGCTGGGGGATTCCCGTGATGCACTGAGTATTTCTTCTTCAGTCGCGTTTCTCACTCACTATGTGTTAACAGACCTCTCTGCATTGAATCATGCTTGTTATTAATCTCTGGCTCTCTTCCACAGCATGTCTTTTATCCTGTCTTCCTTCTCTCTCCCCAGCCAATCATGGCAGATGACTGCCCCTCCCTGAGCCTGGTTCTGCCAGAGGTTTCTTCTTGTTAAAAGGGAGTTTTTCCTTCCCACTGTTGCCAGCTGAAGTGTTTGCTCATAGGGGGTCATATGATTTCTAAGTTTTTCTCTGTATGTATTATTGTAGGTGCCTTGAGGTGACTGTTGTTGTGGTTTGGAGTTGTATAAATAAAATTGAAAGAAAGAAAGATCCTCATAGCAGCACATTTAACATGGCAGCTGAACATAGCCTTTACACAAAGAAAACCTACTGGTACTCACAATAGAAATTATTTAGTGGTGCAGCTTTATTTTCACTTTTTCACCAAAACTGAAGGCCAAAATACAATAGAAGTTTTGAATCCATATTACATGTTCTTATGCTTATCACTTGATTACATTCCTCGGTCCTCTTTTCAAGTGTAAAATAATTTTTAAAGTTTATTAAGTGGAAGAAAATGCGTTTGTATATTGCTTGAAAATAATCGAAAGTGCAGCAGTATCTCAGCTCACATGTGATAAAAAGTGAGACTAGCTTTGGAACAAGCTAGTGTCTTGGCTTGCTCACCAGCCTGCAGCTCAGGTTGCTATATTAGCAATCTGATCACTGGGCCATGCTACCAATGTAAGTCAATGAGAGTCCATCTCCTCCATCAGTGTTTTCACAGGTCGCACTCAAATCATTCCAAACACTGCCAAACACAAAGGAAACAGTGAAAGATGAGAAAGCCAGCTAGCCTGTTTTCAGTCGCTGCAGAGAGAGATTCTTAGTGAAACTCTGATTTTCTCATTAATGTAAGGTGACAGGATGGAGAAAAGATCATCCAGAAAATAAAATGTCAAACACATGTCTGTTATGTAGGAATCGTGCTTTCATCAGGAAAAGAAGTTCAAGCTCAAACTTTAAATTCAAACACTAGAAGGCACCACAAGGCAGTTTTTAAAGCGCTAATAAGCTAACATTAATTATGACGTAAATACCAGCAGTCCCCACCCTTTTTTGCGCTATGGACTGGTTTATGTCCAACAATATTTTCATGGACCAGCCTTTAAGGGGTCACAGATACAACTAAATAAAACCAGTACCGGTACAAAAAAAAAAAAAAAAAAAAGATTTATTCATAACACACATGAAAAGGCCCAGGGAAACAGAGTTAACAATAAAAACGATTTTAAAAAAAATGATAAAAACCAATAAAAAGCCCTGGAAACCATAAATCTCACACCCGAGCCTCAACTCTCGTGGGCCGGTACCAAACAACTAACGGTCCGTGGCCCGTGGGGACCACTGCTCTAAACAAACTTTACACAGCTGCTCTCAGTCTAGTGGAGTTTTTTAACACATGTTTTGGTTTTTGGAACTTTTATGTTCACTATTATTAATAATAAATTTAAAAGGTGTGAGGCAGATAGCATCTGCTCAGCAAAGGCCAACCAAACAATGAGTGCAATAGCAACAGCAATCAACAGCTAAAAGAAGAGAAAACATTGGGTTAACAATTATTTGCTAAAACTTTACAATGATAATATATCGCTGCTGTATTTTCAGCTTGATTGCTAAGCTTTGTGTTTTGAAATTGATAGCTGAATATATATAAATAGAGTCTACCACACTTACAGAATAGATATTAAAGTTTGCATTCTTACGCCTTTTTCCTTCGTGTTGTTTTTTTTCTTCCAAGAAAAAAAAAGAACTGGACTCCTTGTCCAATCACCAGAAGGTAAAGAGTCAGAGTTGAGAAACCAGACATTACAGATTTGGCCAAAGAAACAAATTTTTTTTTAGCTGTGAATTTAACATCAGAGCTCCCCTGTTTAAACAGCTTCCTACTGGCTTTCAACCAGCATACCTGCGTCTCTTTCATTCAGGAGCCTGCTGTATTCTGCTGACAGGAAAATATACCACTGTGGTATCTACACAACGATCAAACTTTCCCAAACCCACTACAGAAGATCTCTTTCATGCACTGATACCACCAAACCCTACACTAGTAAAGCAGACACAGACTGTTTTCTACATTGAAAAGAAATGAGTGTAAAATAAAACTATAAAGCTTCTGAACTAACCAGTTTCCCACACTCACTAAATATAAAAACACAAGAAACTTCCTTCCTCTTGGAAGTCATAATTATTGTCAACAGTTGTAATTAAAATGCTGACATCATCATTTGAAATAGAAGAAAAAGAACTAAATCAGTTTTTTGAGCAGTTATTATTTTTCCTGCAATGAAATGAATCTCTCTCTGTATACAAAGTAAACCTTTTCATTTTAAACAAATTCATTCACCGTGTGGTCGCGCTCTGCTGAGGCCAGGTGTCATCATGAACAGCGAGATGATGTCAGGGGTGTCGCTGATGTTGCCACGCTGCAGGAACACAAAGCTGCTGGATTTGCTGGCTGCCAACAGTGTCGTCCGATCCCTGAAGGTAAAGAGCCTGAAGGGACCTTTACCCAGAACTGCAGACAGGCATCCACACTTTATTGTAGGATTTTACCTCTTTGAACTCATAATTTCTCCAACAGCCTAAAAACTGCTGTTCTATCACTGCATAATACTTGACTGTGAGTGGTCATTTCATTAAAATAATCAATGTTGCATTGCATATTATTGCATTTTAATAACACATTTATACTTCTTTATATAAAGTGCAGGGCATATCATTTATATATAGAAATCTCCCTCTCTCTCTCTCTCTCTCT